CCACTGTCAGAGGCCATAAGAAGATCATTTGTAACCTTCACTAAAGCTGTTTCTGTGCTGTGATGAGCTCTGAAACCTGACTGAAACTCTTCAAATAAACTAGCACAAAAGTTATAAATTCATGAAATTTTTAGGTCAGTGTGTGACAACACTTCACATTAAAAAGTATCAGTAATGTTTTGTTTTAAATTGCTGTCTAGTCTATTTTTTAACTGTTGCACCTCCTGAGGTGGAGGTGCAGCCACTGCTGGGCCTTCTTTGCCAGGGTGTTGGTGTCGTGGGTCCAGGTGAGATCGGCATAGATGTGGGTGTCCAGAGGAGACCCAGGACAGGAGAGACATTATATATCTCGGCTGGCTTGGGGACACCTTGGTGTTTTCCAAGAGAAGTTGGAGGAGGATAAGCAAAAAAAAATGGATGAATGAAAAAGAACAATTAAAAAATAACTGATTCTATTTTTAAAGTTAAGTATGAATGAGCTGTATGTAACGTCCTTTGTTTAGCAGAAATATCAGTTTTATTGGAACCAAAATAAATGCTCACACGTTTAAACAAATATTCCTTCAATAAATGTGTCACTTTAACATCTGCATGTTTGCAGCCTGTGTGATCCATGTGGACATGTTTGTAAAATGAAGCAGAGCCTCTCTGCAGGTTTAAACTAGAAATCAGACTTTAACAGATCAGGTCTCACTCTGTGAAAGCTGTATCTGCGGCTCGTCTGTGAGATCTCTGCAGACCAGAATCCCTGAGTACAGAATTAAACCACTGTCATAAATAAATGAACAATCAAGTGTCTTTTATGGAAGCTGCTCCTCGAAGCTTCTCAGAATAAAATCAGGTAAACTCAGCCAGTCACATTTTTAGGTTTTCTCAGCCAATTAGATATTTTCTTCTTTGGTGACGCGTCATTATTCACAGAGTGACCAACAAAGGATAAAGAAGAAAAGCAGTGCGACCGACTCTCAGCCAGTTTTCATGGAGGTTACCAACCTATTTTTCCTCTTGTGTGACCGAAGCTTTAATACTTACAGCTCATATAAGAACCAGCTGGTTCATTCTTTAATGTGTCACAGATAAATTCATTAAATCAGTGTTACAGTTACCACATGTGGTGACACAGTTTTCCATTTCCTGCTTCCAGCTCCACCTGAGGTGTTTGTGTTTGCAAAGAAGGCCAAAGTGGAGACAAACCTCATCCTGACCTGCCTCGCCACAGGCTTCTACCTCAAAGACATCGTCGTGAGGATCAGAAGGAACGGACGTGTTCTGACCTCAGACGACGGCCTGACGAGCTCAGGAGTTCTTCCAAATAACGATGAGACCTTCCAGAAGAGAGAGTCTGTGGAGATTCTGAAGTCTGACCTGTCAAAGTTCAGCTGTGAAGTCGTTCATGAGGCGACTGGTGTGAATGTTACAAAGACTTGGGGTAAGAAACTTTATTTATTGCCTCTGTTGTTGATCATAACTCTGTTTGTTCAGTCAGAGCCTGGAGCTCCTCTGTGTCCAGCAGATCTGCATCATTCTGTCCTGATCACAGTCCTGAGGTCAGATCCATGTCAGTCCATCTAGAACTAAGCTAGCATGTCACATGTAGCCCAGCTCTGCAGCCCTGAAGAAGCAGAGGAGCGATCTCCTCCAGAGCATCACTGAATAGTTGCAGATATGAACAGTCTCAGTGCCGTCCCCTCTCACTGACCTCCTGCTGCTGCTCCACATCACTGCTGTCAGATCACTGACTCCATCATGACTGTGGCTTCAAATCTACATCTCAGTAACAAACAGCAGCAAATAACTGACAGTGACCTCAACCTGAAGCTTGTGTCTGTGTTTCAGAGAACCCTCCGGAGGAACATGGACCTGGAGCTCCGATCGCTGGCGTAGTCGCAGGAGTCGTGGTTGTGGTTGCTCTTGTTGCTGTAGCTGTGGGTCTGATCTTGTATCTTAGTAAGTCCAGTGTGCTGTTGTGTGTAATTACTGTTGAGTGGAGTTAAAATGTTTGACTTTGTGTCCTGTAAAAATGAAACTGTCCTGGTCTCAGACAGTGATGACATGGAGCTGTTACTGATCATCACATTTGAAACACATGAAGAAAATCATTGAAATGATTGTAAGAAATGTTGAATATCAGCTGCTCCAGTCCTTCAGCCTTCAAACACTTCACTTAGTATTTTATTAGGACTCCATGAGGGGGTCAAAGGTCACAGTCACGTGACATGATGTCAGACTTTCCTGTCTGCAGCTTCTGATCCAATAACTTTGAGCCCTCTGGGACATAAATGCAGTTTCTCTGTGCAGAACAGAAATGATTGATGTTTGCTGATAGTGTGCAGCTCGTTTCCTCCACCGTCTCCACTCAGACACATCTGCATGTAGAACAAACCACTGAGTTCATCCATCATCACTGACAGTCTGTGTTACGTCTCTTTACAGGACGCAGACGTGGAGCCAACGACAACAAAGGTAACATCTTTATTTTTCTGTCTTATAAAGTTTGATTCTCGGAGACTCGAGTCAGTCTGAGTCCATCCTTTAACACCTTTAATCTGACAGTAACAGGACAGCAGCTGTCTGTCAGTTTGGTCCCTGCAGGATCACAGACAGTCTGTGACTCCGGTCCCTTCAGAGAGCTCAGCTCTCATGTTGGTCCCTGTGGTCAGTGTAGGTCAGCAGTTCATGTAACGAGCACATGTTTAACCTGTGGGAGAACACAAACCCACAGAGAGGCTCCAGCTGAGTTTGAACCACCACAGCACCTGCTCACATCCCAAATACTGCATCTACTGCTTCCATACTGGAGGAACTGCTCCTGACACTTCCTGTGAAACACTGCCACCTGGTGGTGAAGTTTGAAATAAAGTGTTGTAAATGGTAAATGGCCTGCGTTTGTACAGCGCTTTACTCGTCCCTAAGGACCCCAAAGTGCTGTACACATCCACACATTCACACACTGGTGATGGCAGCTACATTGTAGCCACAGCCACCCTGGGGCGCACTGACAGAGGCGAGGCTGCTGGACACTGGCGCCACCGGGCCCTCTGACCACCACCAGTAGGCAACGGGTGAAGTGTCTTGCCCAAGGACACAACGACCGAGACTGTCCAAGCCGGGGCTCGAACCTGCAACCTTCCTATTACCAGGCAAACTCCCAACTCCTGAGCCATAGTCACTCACAATTGTGAGGTCTTTAAGAGCGACTCCTTTAAATGAGCAGCACAGCAGATCTTTGGTTCCTGCTCTCTCCTCTGTTTGTGCAGCTCAGTCTGCTGCTGAGCTCCTTCCTTCACAACAGCTGGGCTCCACACAGCCAGCTGTGAGCTTTGGCTCCACCCTGCAGTGGTTCACACCTCAGCCCGACAGGTGAAACATGGCTGCTGTCAGGTGTGTGCAGAGGTTCCTCTCTGTGACAGCTGCTCAGTTTCACTTTATGAAACAAACAGAAGAAACACTCAGACGTACTTTTGACTTTCAGTTCCTCTGAGTCACTGCTCTTTAACTTAACTCTGTTAAAATGTAATTTTTATATGAACAGATAGAAAGAATCAAACATGAAGCACTGACTGAATAAATGTCATTTGGTCTTTTGTGTGTGTTTACAGGTTTACCTCTGGCTGCTACACCACGTAAGCACTTTATTTTTCTGCTCTGGTTTTTGGTAAACGTTATCTTTTAACTTAAGTTTTAACACATAAGCTCTTATTATTTGATGTGGTAATAATATTTATACAGCAGCAGATGCTGAAAACCTTAAAGCTGATTTTAAAGTTCATAAATAAAAGAAACAGAAAGCTTTAAATGTTTCCTCACATGTGGAGCAGTTTGTCCTTAAATAACCTGAGTGAGTGAGTGAGTGAGTGAATGAGTGAGTGAGTGAGTGAGTGAGTGAATGAGTGAGTGAGTGAGTGAGTGAATGAGTGAGTGAGTGAGTGAGTGAGTGAGTGAGTGAATGAGTGAGTGAGTGAGTGAGTGAGTGAGTGAATGAGTGAGTGAGTGAGTGAGTGA